AACCAATCATATGAGCATATGATCACGTTTCTTACAAATTACATGAAAACCATGTTACTGAAAACTTACGCAAAATTACGTAAATTACGGTAATTTGACAACCCTAACTGTGCCGTACCAACTGGTAAAATGCCGTAATTCAGTAATTCTACCGCCAACTATATCTGTAACCAACAAGCTTACATAGATCAAAATAGTTAAATTTACGACTTCAACAATATAAAAAATGTAACGGTATTTTAAAAATATACTGTAATTTCGCGAAATAACGAACATGGGCGTTATTTAGAAAATCGTACCCTATGAAAATAGCATAAATTATTGTCACTGCTGAAGCTTGAAACGGCTGAAACTTGAAATTAAGGACCTTGATTTAAAAATATAAACTCTACCAAAATCCACTTATACTCTTTTATTATCAAAACTAACCCTAAAACCTAATCTAACTATTAAAAAAAAGTTAAAAAAATGCACCCCAAAAATTTCTAAAAATTTCATATTAAAATAATTAAAAATTCAAGTTTCAGCTGTTTCAAGCTTCAGTTGCGACAATTATTTTAAACTAATGCCAATGCCCATGCGCATGCGCGTCCCAAAATAACTCGCACCACGTATAAGGGAAACAGGTACATAATAATTTGAAAAACCAAGTTCTGGAAAATTATCTTTGTCTTAAAATAACGTACTCTATATAACGCGCATATATTCAAATAACACTAGATTAATTTTAAAATATACTATTAATCGCATACTTGTATAATAAATTATAATACATTTGAAACAAAAGATTATATATTAACAATAAATTTATATCTTTAAGGCACTATAGGCAATTAGACAGTTTTGGACAGCCTTTCATATGGCCAAAACCTTGTCCAAAACTGTTAAACCTATTAAATATTGTCCAAAAACCATCTTCACTTTAATGTAATAAATTTATAAATTTAATTAATTGTAAATACAGTAAGTTTAATATAATATTTGCCAATAGGGACTTTAATGAATTAAAAAGATTTACTTGATAAAGTTGCTTATATAGCATAATTAGTTTGAATGAACAATGATATTTTAATATTTTCATATACCTAAAGCATTAAATCGGCCCATGAACTTTGTTATATCGAGCTTTCAATTTATCAATCTACATAATCAAATAAAAATAAAAAACGATAAGGGTTTAATAAAATTTACCTTTTTTATGTTACGCTGTTTTTATGATACAGAAGAATACCGTTCTACATAAATCCAATTGCTAGTATCGATCACAAAGAATGTAGCTTATGTATCTATGATAGGTTATGCCAAAATCACGTGTAGTCTAAAAATTCGCGAAAAATAGAAAATCATAAATACAGAATAACAAGATTTTATTATGCCAACTACAGTTTGATGAAATTTAGTTTTATGAGCATGTTTAAATTTGAGATGACGATCGACATAACCTGTCACAGATTTCAGACGTGCCACATTTTTTTTTTGTGGGCGATATTAAATGATTCTATATTTGGAGAACAATATAAATTCACAAAAAAAGGTTATTGTTTAAATGATGTATTATACGACATTATATACATTCGACAAAAAATTAATAAATAGGTCCAACCTTCATTAAAATTCAATTTGGTCCATCTCTTTCTTCTTTTGACAGGAAAAAATCCAGTGGGAATTACCTAGACTTAGGACCCAATCCCAATTTCCTTTCTACTCGAAATATCCTCATACACTTTTAACGAATCATACATTTAATTGTATTTTTTGTCTTTCAGAAGCTGGGCTTCAAAGGCTATTTTTCGCAAAAATTATAAGAATTAGTGGACAAATCTTGTAATTAATAATTAATCGTACGAGTATTATTTGTGCATTTACCACCGTTATACTACAGATGTCATTCTCCAAGAGATCACAAAGTAGCACTACGTTGATAAAAAAAATAATTGTCATAATCATATTATTTTACTTCGTTGAAAAAGCTTCAGCACATGGATATATTGCCGATCCAAGGATCCGAATGTTCACTTTTGATAACGAACTTTTACAAATGACAGCTGGACCAACAACCGAACAACCATGTTCCGGGTACGAACCAGGACCCATCGTTGCAACATATAAATCTGGTCAAGTTATTCCTATAACATGGACAATTTTTACAGCTCATGGTGGCACCTGTAGCGTCCAACTCTCGATAAATGGCAAAGATTCTGAATTTCAAGAAATAAAATCATATTCAAATTGCGCAGATGCAATTGGTACGTTTAATGATACTGTACAGTTACCAACTGGAATAGCATGCGATAAATGCACATTCAGGTGGGTGTGGAATTCGGCATTAAACGGTGAATTGTATCTACAGTGTGCGGATATTAAGATTGAAGCTGAAAATAATAAGTCTACGAACACCGTACCACTTACAACTACATTATCTACCCCACTTACAACTTCATTATCTACCCCACTTACAACTACATTACCTACACTGCCGATTTTGAAGACCATATCATTAACTTCGAATACCATAAAGACACCTACCTCTACTAAATTTCCAACGCGCACTTCTTCAACTACTAAACCTAAAAAATCAACGTGCACTCCTTCAATTACTAAACCTAAAAAATCAACGTGCACTCCTTCAATTACTAAACCTAAAAAATCAACGTGCACTCCTTCAATTACTA